TGATAGATAGATAGATAGATAGATAGATAGATAGATAGATAGATAGATAGATAGATAGATAGATGATAGATAGATAGAGAGAGAGAGAAACATCAATGATGAGAGAGTCATTAATCGGCTGCAGCCCGCAACCTGGGCATGTGCCCTGACCGGGAATCGAACCCCGATCACCTGGTTCCTAGATCGACGCTCAACCGCTGAGCCACGCCCGGCTGGGCCTGACATGAATTTTTGAGGGACACTGTTCAACCCAGTGCAGTTGCACGATGATTTTCCTAGTGAATATCTTTGGTCTTCCTTTCCATTAAGCTAAGCATGTGCTAGAAAGAAGAGCCCCAAATCACAAAGACTGTAACACAGAGAGCCCTGTGTTTTGAGGTTTGGGAATGGCAGTTGCTTATTGAAGACTGAAATTGAAGGGCTAAATACAACATTTATCAAAATCCCTAGTAAATATTCCTGCTTTGTATATGCTGTTCTCAAATATCTTCCTGTTTTCCCATATAAATAAAAGATGAAAAATTACTTGCATAGAAAGCAATATGAGCACAATATTTCATTAACTTTCTACTATCTTAGTGTGCATATAATGGTCCACATGGTCTGGCCCCAGACTACTTGTCCCACTCCACCACATTCACCTATGATCCAGCCTTTATTTGCTAAAATTCCCTGAATTAGCCAGTTCTCACATATTTCCAAATGCAATTGCCCCAACTTGACTTTTCAGTCGTCTTCATTTTTTAAAGTCTTGACTCAGATATCACCTTTTCCAAAGAATTCTTCCCAAATCTTCAGACTGTATGAGTAGCCTCTTCTGTTTCTCTCTTTAGCTCAGTCATAAAACTTACACATTGGGTAGTAAATGTCTGTCTTCTAAACTAGGAGGTCTGGAAGCCAAGGATTCAATTTTACATTTCAGTATAACCAAGGTCTTGTACAGCACCTAGTACATCATAAGTGCTTAGTAAATTACAGTTGACTATAAGAATGGTGTCCCCAATTCATTTAAAATTATTTGTTCTGAGAAATTAATGAGACTGAATGGAAAAGTAAAACAAATGCCTTTTCAATTTAGTGGTCATCTCAGACATCATATCACCTCTGTAAAGAAAATATTAACATCACCTGTTTTTGTTTGTTTTTAATTCAAAATTATTTTATTTTATTTCCTTGCCTCAGGAAGTTTTAAAAACCATTTTGTCTTCCCTTATCACTTCAGGACTGGCAAACTAGTGTGGTTCTAGACTTTCACCATTGATGATAATTCCTGTTGATTGTGATGCTTAGTAGGAATTGTAGGCAGCATTGAGGAAGTTTATTAAGAAACTACATAAATTCTAGAATTGAAATTTTTGTCATATACATGTGATTTTTTTTTTTAATTTTGTTTAAAATATTACAGATGTCCCTTTTTCTCCCCAATGACCCGTTCCACCCCTTCCTACCCCCTCCCCTACATGTGATTTTAGAGGGCAAATCTGTTTAGATGTCCTCAGTTTGGTCTGATACTCTATACCCCACTAGCACCAAATCTATGTCAATTTTTAGGATGTTTAGATTGTTTTACATTTATTTCATTGCTTTATTCATTAGCACATCATTGAGCAAGGAGGTACTTAAACTAGAACCATGCTGACGGCTTCGAAGTTTAGGTTAGCATTAATAATTACATAAAATAACATTAATCACTACCACAGCAATCTAAATATCATTTATTGAGAGCCTACTATTACTATGTGTTTATGGTAGTTTGAAATTATCTTTCACTGTACCACTGCAAGATTATTGTTATTTTTAACAGATAAAAAAATGGAAGCTGCAAGAAGTTAAGTCACTTACCAAGTTAGTATGAAATTAAATGTAGCTATCTTTTCTCTTCAGATATATGGATACAAAGGAATTTAATCCTTCTTTAACCAATAACAATATGAAAAAATAAATGTATGCAGTACCAGAATTAGCTCGGTTCTCATGTGCGCTGTTAGATTTTTTTGTTCTAAATAGCTTGTCTTTCCCAGAAAACATGCTTGCTAATTAAATCAAATAGAATAACATAAGTAAGACAAAAACTTGATTCTGTTAGTTTAAAGTAGCTATTTTCTATGTCATTTTTATTCTGCTATACACTGAGAAAAAGATAAAGATACAGGCTGAGTCTAAAAAATTGTTTTTGCAGCAAATAATATTTATTAAAAAATATGTGCTTTTTTCTGTTCACTAACGGGGTGATGACATCACCAAAATGTGTATTTTACCTTTCTTTTTATTTTTTTTCTTTCCTTTCTTTTTCTTGTCTTTTCTATCTCAAAGTTTTGGAAAAAAGAAGAAACCTTTTGGATTTTTAAAATAATTTATTATCTTTATTTTACAAAATAATTAAGAGGCAAATTAAAGATCTTTTCATGGTTACAAAACTCCAAACATAACATGGGAGAGTGGATTCTACCTTTACACAGGTATGATAAGGGGCATAACTGTAAGGGGCCTACCTAGATGAGAACCCAGTTCTTTCTTCCTCTGAACTCTGGGCTTTCCTGTCTCCATGTTGCTTCATACTTTCTGCCCTAAGCAGGTCAAAGCAAATGATCAGGAGCAAAAATTTAGGCTTCAGTGAATTTTTGCTTTAACCAAATAGATTTTCTCCCCTATTTACTTTTATTTGGCTTATGCTGAAACAATCAACTGTTACATGATTTCAAACATATTGGATATTTTATTTTGTTTTAGAAATTTAGATCAAGGGGAGAAATCTGTGAAAATAACTAATAGAATTTATGAAGAAATTTACAAGATTTTATTAGATTTTTTATAACACCCTTGCAAATAGGAGCAATTTTTCTAACCTTTCAGATAGAAACTGAAGTTGAGTGAGTCATCAGCTTGCCAAAGTTTGTGGCATCCAAGATGCAGAGCTTGCCTCAGATAGTACCTAACTTTTTCTACTAAGTCACTTTGAGTCTCATGAAACTAGAAAGTTCTAGTTAGAAAAGGAAATAGTGAAAGAATTCATTACATTTTTAGAAAAACTTTGAGAAGTTTCCAAAATAATATATCTTGGGAGAAATATATATATATTTTTAAGTATGAAAACCATAAGAAAAATTTAGAATAAGAATGAGAAAAATAGGAAAAGACAATCTTTAAAATACAATGCTTAGCCAATAAAATAAACGACCATCTTTTCTATGTTGAGTAAATCTTGAAAAAGTATATATCTTAGTTTAAATTCTAACACTATGATTTCAAACAAGTTGGGTAACCAATTATTTTACTTAAGAAAATACTGCTATATTTTATTTTAACTGCTAAATTACTGCTAACCCCCCTTTGTTCAAATGTCCTCTTTTCAATAAGGCTTACCCTAACTACCCCTTTAAAATTGTACTCTCAACACCCTTTCCTCTTCTAACTTTTACTTTTTTGTATTACTTATTACATTTTAACATATTATGTAATTTATTTATTATATATATTATTTATTGACTGTCTCTCCCTGTAAGAATGTAATCCCCCAAACAGTAGAAATATTTGACTGTCTTCGTATTAGTTCTCCATTGCTGCTGTAACAAATTGTAACACAAACTCAGTGCTTTAAAATGACACATTTATTATCTTAAAAGTTCTATAGGTCAGAAGTCTGGCATGGGTCTCACCATACTAAAATGAAGGCAGCAGCAGGGTTTCATTCCATCTGGAGACTCTAGGGATTATCTGTTTCCTTGATCATTCAGGTGGTTGGCAGAATTCAGCTCCTTCTGGCTGTAGAACTGATGGCGCTGATTTCTTGCTGGCTGTGAATTGAAGGCCATTCCTAGGTTCTACAAACTGCCACATTCCTTGACTCAGTCACTTTCCTCCATTTAAAAACCAGCAACAGCAAGTCACATCCTCACGTTGTCTCTCTCTCATCCATGCTTCTGCTTCCGTATCCCATTTTTAAGAGTTCATCTAATTAGACTGAGCTCACCCAGACAATCTAAGGTAATCTACTTTATGTTCAGTTTACTGGAAAACTTAATTTCATCTCCAACTTTAATTACTTTTACCATGTAATGTAACATATTCACATGTTCCAGAGATTAGCATGTGAACATCTTTGGGGACCATTGTGCTGTCTAT